GAAGGTCCGATTTGACCCTGGACTAGGAGGAGGAGAGCCATGGGCAAAGCAGAAACCAAACAGGGGCCCGTGTCCCGCAGCTGCCATCCCTGCGCTGGACTTTCCTTCATTCCTCACCCGAGGCCATGACGCTGTGCGCTAGAACTTTCCAGAAGCAAAGCAGGAGTTGGGAGCTGGCCTCCTCCGCACCATCTGGAGGAAGGAGTGACAGCTGAAGGTCCGATTTGACCCTGGACTAGGAGGAGGAGAGCCATGGGCAAAGCAGAAACCAAACAGGGGCCCGTGTCCTGCAGCTGCCATCCCTGTGCTGGACTTTCCTTCATTCCTCACCCGAGGCCATGTTTTTATTGACTTTAGAGAGAGAAGAAGGGAGAGAGAGGGAGAGAGAGAAACAGTGATGCGAGAGAGAAGCATCAATTGGTTACCTCCTGCTCGAGCTGTGACCGGGGAGTTAAACTGGCAACCTGGATATGTGCCCTGACTGGGAATCGAACCCGCAACCTTTTGGTGCACCGGATAATGCTCCAACCAATTGAGCCACACCAGCCAGGGCTGGACTTCTTTTCTTTAATTTTTTTTATAGATTAAAACAAATTTTTTTTTATTGATTTCAGAGAAAAAAGTAAAGGGGGAGAGAGAGAGAGAGAGAGAGAGAGAAACATCAATGATGAGAGAGAATCATTGATTGGCTGCCTCCTGCACGGCCCCCACTGGGGATCAAGCTGGCAACACAGGCATGTGCCCTGACCGAGAATTGAAGTGTGATCTCCTGGGTCATAGGTCGAAGCTCAACCATCGAGCCACGCTGGCCGGGCTGGACTTCTTTTAAATGAAAGACAAAACTGTTGTTTCGGATTTTCTGTATGTGCCGTCAACCTCTTATCCTAACTGGGATGTCAGAAGCCCACTGGGGAGGTTACACGTGGGTCTTCAAGGTCGCCTGCCCCACGTCTGAGCTGAGAGACGTTCCTGCAGGCGGCTGCCCAGGTGTGGAGTGCGGCCATATTTCCATGACTGTGCTCCCCACACTGGACCTGAACTTGGGGATCCCTGCACCTCGAATGGGAGTCACGCCCACACACACACACACCAGGGCACAGCTTTGGTCACTGGTGGCAGCAGAGTTCAATTTCGGAACCTCTCTCAGCTATTGCTTTTGTTCTTCCTTCCCACCTGGTCCAGTCCCAGGGAGGGAGGGAGAGAAAGCCGGGCCAGCAAGAGCACATCCAATCCCGTCTTAATCAGCAGCATCTGGAGAGCGTGGCACACTCGCTCGCAGGGCCCAGGCGAATCGCCGGTGAGGGCACCACCAGCACATTAAGGGAAGCAGCAGGGGTCGGGGACAGGTTCCAGGCGGGCCGAGGGGACCCAGGTCTGCAGATGGCTAGTTAATTACGGCTGGGGGTAGGAGGGTGGGGTTCCCCATCCCTTCCCTCGGAGCTGCGCGCTGAGAAGGCTCACGTGAGACGTCGCACGCCCCACAGCGCAGCTATGAAACCCCTCATCCCCCACGAACACGCCGGAGGTGCCGAATGGGTCTGGGGAAGCGGGCACAGATCATCCTCTCCTGGGGGGAGACTCGGTGTCATACCCCACAGCCAGCCGGGTGCCGGGGAGAGAGGGAGAACAGAGTGCTTTCGCCAACAGGAAAACTGACTTCCAATCAACGAATAACAAGGAATTGGCTTCCTCCTGACGCAGCTCGGGCTGGGGAAGGAAGGGCTTAGCTGGGTCACGAGCTTTTCTGACTCCCGGGGCTCTGGGCAGCCGGGGTGGTCTCTCGGGGCAGGGACGGGGCGGGTGACGTCACCCAGCCTGGGGTCTGCTTCCCTGGAGAGTGTTAGGGGCGGGTTGGCACAGATGTGCGTGCTCCACCGACGGGGAGTAGAAACCGGCCAGGTTCCAGGTGGGCCCGAAACTGGAAGGCAGAGGGGAAGGGAGGAAGGGAGTGGGGTGTGGGAGCCTCTAGACAAATCGGGGGGTGGGGGGTGTCCCCTGAGCATCCCTGTTGGGGCCAGAGTGTGAGAATGACAGAGCAAGTGTCAATGGGAGGAGGGGGGCCACGGGGAAAGCGTGAACGGACATGACCCCGGCACCACATTGGAGGTCAAAACAAAACAGTGCTGCCCCCTCGAGGGATAGTTTAGCCAAGACTAACTCAGGTGATGGGTTCCGGAAAGACCCAGGTCCCTCCTATCTCCCCTTTCCCATTTATCAAAACCCTAGGCATCCTGTACTGTGTAACCAGTCCGCCTTCCTGCCCAGCTCCCCCCACCCCTAAAAGGAGAGAGATTGGGGCCACACATGAAAACTCGGAATTCACAAGCTAAGTTATACACTAGGAAGGGGCTGCGTCCTGGGTCCTGTCCTCACCTCTGAAAATGAATCAGGATTAAAAGGCTGCTTCATTCCGTTTGCATCAGAAAGTGCTCCCTGATATTTAAACACACACACAACACAAAACTCAGCTCCCTGTTTTTGTCAACTCGGGGACTGGCTCACTGTGTCTTGGACGACATGTCAGTTTGTTTAAAACACACACAGAAGAGACGTTCCTTCCAGCTGTCAGAGCAAAACTTCTTTGCTCTTCCGTCCAGCAACCCCAAGAAAAACAAGGGAATTTGTGGCTTGGTTTCCTTGGCAACCTTATCTTCACTCCAGGCCCATCTCCTGTCTCTAAGCAACAGGGCGCTCTTCAGAATTAGCCGAGGTGAAACCCAGGCTTCTGGGAGTCCTCGCGGACCACACAGGTCAGGGTAGAGCGCCTGGCCCCTCGAAGGGCAGGGCCCAGGGACCAGGCAATCTCACGGCCCCACTGTCCTCCCCCAACCCCCCACACACCCCGTCTTCCTTGTGCCCGGACTCCCGCCTGCCCACTCTCCTCCCCTGGGCTGATGCCTCTGTCCTCCAGAGGGGTCGGTGACTCAGTTTATCAGCCAGTGTCTCCCATAGGACCCGCCCCTCACCGAAAGGCCCCACACAGCTCCAGAGAGGGAAGCTGACCCCGGAGACCAGGCCACAGAAGGGAGCACTAAGATGCCACCGGGACACTGGTTTCATAAGCAAATGGCTCTGCTGGAGAAAGGCGTGTGATTGAAAGAGCGTGAGAGAAATGCCCATGTCGCTGCGCTGACATTTAAGAAGCATTTGCACAGGAAAACGGGATTCGGAGATTAGTTCCCCGTCGGCGTGACCCCGCCTCTCTCCCGACATCTCCGAGCCAGGAAGGGCTTCTGAGGACACACGGAAGGGGGACAAACGCGCAAGATCTCTGGAAGGGACGGCTCTGAACTTGACTCAGAGGCTGAGGAGTGCCGGGAGGGTGGGGGGTGGGGGTGGGCACTGCCTCTCGGGAGCCAGGGAGGGGATGTGAATTGGGCAGCGTCCCTGGGGCATAGACTTCACAGTGGGGTCCCCAGGACAGTGATGTCCCCAGGACAGCAGACGTCCTGTCTGCAAAGCCGGAGCTGAGTGGGGAGGAGCTGTTCTGAGGGGCTGCGCAGACAACGACCAGCTACGTG